CAGCAACCTCCAACTCCTGGGCTCAAGCGATTCTCCTGCCTCTGTCTCCCAAGTAGCTGGGACTACAGGTGCCTGCCACAACGCCCAGCTATTTTTTGGTTGCAGTTGTCATTGTTGCTTGGCAGGCCTTGGCTGGATTTGAACCCTCCAGCTTAGGTATATGTGGCTGGTGCCTTAGCTGCTTGAGCCATAGGCGCCCAGCCTATTTAGGTTTTGTTTATAGGTCTATTCAGATTTTCTGGGTCTTCTTGAGCCAGTTTTGGTAGTTTGTGTTCCTAAGAAAGTGTCAATTTCATCCAGGTTACTCAATTTTTTTGACATAATATTCTTGCAGGTTTTTGATCTGCTTGTTCTTTCTATTACTAAGACAAGAGTGTTAACATCTCTTTCCAACTCTGTGATTATGTCTTCTTTGATTCTGTCAGTTTTTGTATATTTTGTTTATTTTTATGTTATTCTGCTAGGTATATACAGGTTAGGGTGAATATATTTTCTGGTGAATCAATCTTTTTATCATTATGAAAATATCCTTCTTTAATTCTAGTAATGCTTCCATCTAGCTTGTCAGTTATTAGTGTAGTTATATTGGAATTCTTATGTTAGTGTTCACACGGCATATCTTTTTTTGTCTTTTCACTTCCAAGATTTATGTTCCTTTAAATTTAAGATATAGTTCTTGTATCAAATACTTAAAAAATCAAGTCTGATAGTTGCCTTTTAATTTGAACATTTAATGAATTATGCCATATTGGAGTTTAAATATACCAGATTACTATTTGTTTTCTGTTTGATTCATCTGTTCTATGTTCCTTTTTTCTCCTTTCTTGCCTACTTTTGGATTAAGTATTTTTTTTAGAATTCCATTTCCTCCCTGTTAGCTCGTCAGCTGTGCATTCTTTCAGAATTCTTTCTGTGGTTTGCATTCATGCATCCCTGACTTTTTAAAGTACTAGTACCACTTCCTGGGCGATGAAATTCTTTAAAACAACTTAATTCCATTTACTGCTCTCTCAATGTAAGTACTACTGTTATCGTGCTTTTAACTGTTATATCTCTACATGTTTTATTCCCCATAAGACTATATTGTTGCTTTACATGATCAATAGAGTTGCTCGCTTCCTATTACTCTTCATTCATTTTGTTTCTCCATGCTCTTCCATCTGGGATAATTTTCCTTCTCTATGAATATCTCCTTTTACTATTTCCTTTCTTTCTTTTTGAGACAGAGTCTCTCTGTGTTACCCTTGGCAGAGTGCCATGGCACAGCTCACAGCAACCTCAAACTCTTGGGTTTAAGCAATTCTCTTGCCTCAGCCTCCCAAGTAGCTGGGACAACAGCGCCCGCCACAATGCCTGGCTATATTTTTGTTGCTATTGTCATTGTTGTTTAGCAGGCCCGGGCTGGGTTCAAACCCACCTGCCTCCGTGCATGTGGCTGGCGCCCTAACCACTGAGCTACTGACGCCAAGCCTACCATTTCCTTTCTTCTTCTTCTTCTTTTTTTTTTTTGTAGAGACAGAGTCTCACTTTATCGCCCTCGGTAGACCATTTCCTTTCTTAATTTCAACTTTTTTTTGTTGAAGTGTAATTGGGGTGCTTCCCAGGACCCCTTGTCCTTTGTGAGCCCTGAACTCCAGTCTTATGAGACCACTCAGTTGCTCAGTCTTTTGGCTGCTGCCATGAAAAGTTGCTCCTTGCTGGAGTCACCTCCCCACACTTAGCTTCCTTGCAGGATCTTCCCCCTTGAAGTCTTCACTGCTTTTTTTTTTTTTTTTAAATTTTTTTTTTTTTTTTGAGACAGAGCCTCAAGCTGTCCCCCCCTCGGTAGAGTGCTGTGGCATCAAAGCTCACAGCAACCTCCAACTCCTGGGCTCAAGTGAGTCTCCTGCCTCAGCCTCCCAAGTAGCTGGGACTACAGGCACCTGCCACAACATCCAGCTATTTTTTGGTTGTAGCCGTCATTGTTGTTTTTGGTGGGCCTGGGCTGGATTCGAACCCACCGCCTTAGGTGTATGTGACTGGCACCTTAGCTGCTGGAACCACAGGTGCTGAGCCCTTCACTGCTTTTTTTTTTTAACTTCCTCCACTGCTTTCACACAAATATTTTATTACTATTTTGAGCAACAATTGTTTCTTCTGAGAAGGTTCATAGATGATAGGAGAGCCTGACATTGCTAAGATTAGAAATCTTTTCTGGTTATTTTTTGAGTTTTGCTCTCCTAACTAGTGGCTGGGGGATGTTCAATTTGTGTGGAACTCAAAGACAATATTGTCAACATTGCTCTCAAACTCCTCTCTTCAAATGCACACAGACATGGCTATTTATACTTATATACACACACACATATATACATGAAAACTTGTACACATAAACATACAAAGCACATTAACATCAAGGCACATATAGGATTTTTTCCCTTTAACTCTTTGAAAAAGGAATTGAAAATTCTTACTTGTCATATACTTATTGTTTTCTCAGTTATTTCTGTGGTATGTGAATGTCCCATATGATGTTAAGATTAGCTTTGCTAAAATGGTCCCACAGTCAATAAATTTGGTAAATTGTACATGGAATCTTCTCCGTGGAAACCACCAATGCACATAATCATGTTGAAGAACAAGACATGTAAATCAACGTATTTCATTATGAAAATCCTGTTTTGAGAAAACACCTGTTTCCATCTCATGGGATACCAGAGTTCTGTAGATAAATCTTGGAAAACATTGCTTCATAGCAAACCCTAATCCACAATATCCTAAGTGTCTTCATCCTCACAGGGGTAAAATGCCACCTGGTGTTCCCTCAGATGGGGGTACTCCGAGGGCAGTCTAAAAGTATGAATGTCTGGTATTGGGTATGCAGGCTTTGAGGCCTCCTGGTACTCAGCAGTTAAAAATAGAAGGCAGAACTTTGGGATATAGTCATTTTCAGCTCTTTGCCTATTTGTGCCTCTAGGAGTTGAAACTGCCTGCTTGGGTTCTCTTTGTCTCAGCCCAGCTCAGCATGGGGTACCCATGTGTGTTGGTGGGAATTGATTTTGACTCTCATAAGACCAAACTCTCCCTCACTTGACCTACGTCTTGGAAGTCTTGCTGCCCCTCTGTGCAGGTGAGAGGGGGAGGCAGTTGTGGCGGAACACCCAGAGCTTCTGCTCAGAAGTCAGAAGGCCTGGGCTCAAGTCCTGGTGTTGAGTGACCTTGGGAGAGCTAACAGTGGAGTAGTAGGTGAGAGCATGGGCCTTGGTGTCAGACATACTTGGCCCTTCTGCTTTCTTGCTGTATGATCTTGGGCACATCACTTCATCTTCCAGTACCTCAGTTCTTTACATGTCAGATGGGGATAATAAAAACACCCACCTCACCCTCTCTTCACGGTGAAGAGGAAATAAGATAACATATGTCAAGTGCGATACCTGGAACATAGTAGGCACCTAGCAAATGTTAACTATTTTACAATACTTCATCCAAACCTAACTCCTTTACCTGGGTTTGAGGAGAATCCCAACCTTTCATGATGCTTGAGAGTCAAATAGAATCTTGAATATGGAAAAGAGTTTGTAAACTCTTAGAGACAAAGAAAATGTCAGGCAATTTTATTTTCTTTGCTGCCCTTAGTGCTGCCTCATCCATTCTGGCTGGGCAGGGCAGGGTGTGGGTACCACACCAGCCTTCTTCCCTGCTCTTACTTAGGCTGAACCATCTCTCCATTACAGAACATTGGCAAGAAGATGTCCTGTCAGCAATTCATTGCCAACTTGGACCAGTTGAATGATGGCCAAGACTTTTCCAAAGATCTGCTGAAGGTATTACCTGCTAAGGGTCCCCATACCCCTAGCTGTGCCCTGGGGGAGTGCAGAGGAGAGAGGTCTCTGCCCCACTAAACCCTGGAATTGCAGGATTTTAATACTAGGAGCAGGGCTACCAAGGCTTTGGAACAAAGTTAGAGACTATCCACCTCAAAATTTGACTGTTTTATGTTCCTTGAATTAGCCAAGGGGAAATGCTTTGCGAGATTTGTTTTTAGTGCTCTATCATCCTTGCTGTTATTACAGTAATAACCAACATTGCCACCAATAGTCACAGCTCCACCCACTGCCACCACAACCATTATCTTCAACACAACCATCATTGTCATCACTATAAGGAAAAACCCACCCATTTCTCCATCATCATCAGGAATTCAGGGAATCCAGTTTTCTTTTGAGGTTAAAGCCCAGGGTGGAATTCTACGCTTTCTGGCTAGGTCAATGCTCCACAGAGGAGGAAGAA